ACACACACACACACACACACACACACACACACACACACACACACACATAAAGGAATATATATTCTTTTGGACAGAGCACCCACATGTAAGGGTATATTCTCCACATGAACAGAAGAAGAAGATAGGGAAGGGGGAAGGAGGAAGTAGCAGCATTGTCCAACTGGAACTGGCCAGTTAGGTTCCCAGGGGTGGGGGGTAGAGGGCAGCTACTGCTACTCACAGATTATTTATTGTTTGGTCCTTTGTTCTCAAAGGGGACCAGTGACTTCAGGAGGGTGATGTCTTGGCTTGTAAGTAAATTGGATTTGGTGTTTAATAAGTGCTTGTTGATTTGACTTCAAAGCTAAGACAAAATGATTCTTCCCGTGAAAAGCCTTTTGTGACTGCCCAGTTGTTGCTGCTCTCTTTTTGCATTGTATTCATTCTATAACCCTCAGAAGAATGAAAGCTCTTTGAGGGTAGGAACTGTTTCATTTTTGTATCCCTGTATGCCTTACACACAGACACAGCCTAAGTGTTTGAATTGAATTATTAAGTGTGTAAGCTTAAATTAAAAAAAAATGTTTTGTTATTATTTTTAGAAAAAAAAGAATTCCCTGAGTATACCTAATGTAGAATAGAATTGACACTATTCTGGATTTAGATATTTTTGAAGGCATTTGCGGTTAATTTCATCTTTTCATTTCGTAACTCCTTGACATCACCCCATTAGCATCTATTTTACTCCATTCATTCTGTAATGAAGAGGTTGCCTTTGTGCTCCCCAAAGTCAGTCTTTCCATACGTGTCCTTAATTCAATCCCCTTCCATCTTTGCCAGCAGATTGCCTCCACTGTCATTCCCCTACCTCCTCTATTCTACATTATGTACAATTCCCTGTATACTGGCTCTTTCGCTGATAACCTACAAACATGCTCAGGTCTCCCCATATTTATTGGCAGGTAGGTGGCACAGTGGATAGAGTACTGGACTGGAGTCAGGAAGATTTGAGTTCAAATCCTACCTTACTTACCTGTGACCCTGAGCAAGTCACTTAGTCTTTCTGTGTATTTAAATGGTAGTACAGGAATAATAATAGCATCTACCTCCCAGGTAGGTATGTGGATAAATGAGATAATATATATAAAGCACTTTACAGACCTTAAAAGTGCTTATGTAAATGTTATTAACTACTATTTTAAAAAAGCTTCACTGAATCATAGATTTTAGAGCTGGAAGGCAACTAAGGATCATCTAGTTCAACCCACTTATTTACAGATGAGGAAACAGGTATATGGGTATATGATTTGCCCAAGGTATGCAGAGAGTCTGTATCAAAGTCAAAATTTGAATCCAAATCCAACCTATAAATTGAGTAGATGGTGTAATAGTCAATGAACACTTATTAAGTGCTGGGGATATATAGAAAGGCAAAAGACAGTCTCTGCCCTTGTGGAGCTCATAATCCTATAGCTTCCCTTTGCCTCACTTTACATGTATACAACCCTTTTTTTTCCCTAATAGTCTTGTGGGACAGGTAGTGCCAGACTTAAAATCCCCAGTAAAGGTCAGAGCTGGAATCTAACCTCCTCCTCCTGACAACCACAGCCATTGCTGTTTCCAGTGTAGCTTTATAAGGACAGAGTCAGGATGAACTCAAGCACCACTACCTGCATAAGGCCTTTCCTAGTCCTCATAGCTGTTAGTGTCTTATTTTCTGAAGTGACCTCCCTTCTTTTCTCCTCTGTATTTCTCTTAGATGTATCTTTTATTTTTGTTTTATTTTTTTTTAGGCAATTGGGGTTAAGTGACTTGCCCAGGGTCACATAGCTAGTAAGTGTTAAGTGTTTGGTTTGAGGCCGGATTTGAACTCAGGTCCTCCTGACTTCAGGGCCAGTGCTCTCTATCCACTGCACCACCTAGCCACCCCTAGATGTGTCTTTTATAACCCTATTTATGTGCCTGTTTCCCCCAGTTGAATGTAAGCTACTTGAGGGCAGGTCCTGGTTTTATTTTTTCCTTGTATCTTTAGCATTTAACATTGTGCATGTAGTGTTTCATAAATGTTGTTGATTGATACAGAGCTAGCCTGTAGTAAAGAAGGCCTGAGTACTAGTCCCACCCCTGATACCACTGCTCTTCTGACCCTGATCAAGGCATTTAACCTCTCACTGCCCACTAGGCAACTCTCTAAAGACAGTTATACATCTTGTATAAATTATACAAGAGTTGTACGTCTGCTTTGGTAGCAGAAGTTTCTTCATCAGGAGCCCACTACCATATACACACACACACACACACACACACACACACACATCAATTATAAGGGCAGAGTTTAGAAAAAATTATATAGATATAGATGCCACCATTAATGTGTGATCTGTAGAAGATCAATTGATTCAAAAACTTTGGAATTAATTAAGAAAAATTACCAAGCTCTTTGCAATGATTCCATTACTAGACTTTCTCTACCAATTAAGTCAAAGATAGAAAGAGTCCATGTATACCAAAATAGTGAGACACATGCTTTTAATTTTTTTTTTGGATTTTAAACTTAAAAACACTAAAAAAAAAGAAAAAAAGAAAAAAAAAAGCAAAAGCAAAAGCTGTTCCCTACACCTAGCAGGACCAAAGAGGATTCTGTATGAAAGCGTGAATCTCCATTTCGCACTACTTCTTTTAAAAAGCACATAAAAGTTATTTTAACTTTATATACTTTAACCTTACGATTTATTAAAACTTTGAAATTTGCCCTACTTGTTCTATGCGTCCTTCTGACCTTGCTTCTGTTTCTTCTGTGCTTTTTAGGAAATGTTGCAGTGGCTCTTTTGGCATCACCGTTGCTACTCACCTCCCCAGTTAGCTGGAAAAAAGAAAAAAATTCCTCATAGGAAATAAGCCTAGTGAAACAAAATGAATCCCCATATTGATGCCAGGTCCAAAAGGGTAGATCCGGGGCAGCTAGGTGGCACAGTGGATAAGAGCACCGGCCCTGGATTCAGGAGGACCTGAGTTCAAATTTGGCCTCACTCAGACACATAACGCTTACTTGCTATGTGACCCTGGGCAGGTCACTTCACCCCATTGCCTAGCCAAAAAACAAAACAAAACAAAACAAAACCTAAAAGGAAGTATATCAAGTTAAACTGGAAAGGCTTCAGATATAGGCCTTAGTGATGCATTGCTATCACAGACCTGAAACTAGTCTTCGCAAGTTTGGAAAGATTTGTCACCGGAAAGTGGTTCAATTTTGCCAGAACAATTCAAGAAACTTTTCATACAGACATGAAGAAATTATGATTTCAACTATTAGAGGGAATTGTCCTTAGTAATGAAATGATTGTACCGAGTGCGGGTTAAAAAGGCTATTGTTGCTTAATCTGGAGATCTCACAGTAGCCTAGAATTTTATTTCTTGCTGTTACTCACAGGTGACACTCCTTCTCTGATCTCTTTGGCTTTGGACAAGCTGTTCACCCAGACTGAGAATGTACTTTCTCTTCATTTCTGTCTTGTACAATCCCAGGCTTTGTGTTTAAAGCTCGACTCAGACGGAAGCTCTCGTAGGCAGAAATCCTATTGGTTTCTGCATCTGCTACATATACGTGGTATTTCCCCCACTAGAATGTATACTTTGCCCCCAAACCCACTACGTTTTTGAATTTCTTTCTGTCAAGGGCACTGTGTTCCTTCTAACGTTCATGACCTTGGTCATCCTTGATTCCTTATTCTCCCTCATCTTGAATATCCATTTAGTTTCAAAGTCCTCTTGACTCTACCTTTACAACATCTCTTTATCCACCTACTTCTCTTTTCTCACACAACCACCACCCTAGTTTAGGCCCTCTACTAACTCTCATCTGGCCTATTGAAATAGTTTCCTAATTGGTCTCCCTTTCTTCACTCTTCTCTAGCTGAGTCTTTGTTTTTGTGAGGCAATTGGGATTAAGTGACTTGCTCAGAGTCACGCAGCTAGTAAGTGTTATGTGTCTGAGGCCAGATTTGAACTCAAGTCCTCCTGACTCCAAGGCTGGAGCTCTATTCACTGCGTCACCTAACTACCCCTCTAGCTGATTCTTTACCTTGATGCTGAAGTGATTTTTTAATGTGACTATGTCATTGCTCTACTAAGCAAACTCCAGCAGTTTCCTACTACCTCTAAGGTCAAAATCAAACTCCTCTTTTTGGCAGTCAAAGAAACCCTTTATAATCAGTGAACGTTTCCAGCCTTACTATATATTACCCCCCTTAACATGCTCTGTAGTCCAGACAAATTGGCCTTCTTGGGGTTTGTCATATTACATTCCATCTCTCATATCTATACCTTTGAACAGGTTGTCCCCTGTGCCCCTCCCTCTCTACCTCTTAGAATTCCTAATATCTTTTAAAACTCAGCTTTTAAGTACCAGCTTCTAGTTGAAGTCTTTTCTGATTTCCCTAAATGCTAGTGGTTTCCCTCTAGAACTATTCATTTTGTATATATTTTGTATGTACTTATGTGCATATATGTCTCACCCCCTGTCTTGATTGTAAGCTTCTTGAGAGCAGAGATTGTTCAGTTTTTGCCTTTGTTCCCTCAGCACTTAAGCTCCATGCCTGGCAGATAGTAGGACCTTAATATGTTTATTTGTTGATTGATTATGTCCTCAGTCCTTTCCCCTTACTTCTTTAGTCATGATCTGCTCTTTCTCATACATCTTCAGTCATTTCCACTCAACTGGCTCATTCGCATCTACTTTTTAAACATGCGCAGGGCTAGCAGTGCCTTCCTAGAGGTATTTTTCAACCCATCTAGCTACCATCCTGTGGTAGCCTATGGCATCCTGAATGCCACAATATTTCAAAAGTTTCCTGTGTTCCCATGCCTGCATCTCTCTCTGCCTGTCTCTCCCTTTCTCTCCTTCCTTCTCTCTTTCTGCCTCTCTCTGCCTCTCCCCCTCCCTCTTCCCCTTGCTTCTTCCCTCTCTCCCCCAACTCTTACTACTTTACCTCTCTCCACATTACTCTATTGAAACTAGCATTTACCAGAACTTAGCAATCATCTTCGAAATGCTAGTTCCAATGGCTGTTTTTTAGCCTTCATCCTCTGAGCTCCTTTGAAGTGCTTGTCACTATTGACCACCCCTTTCTTCTGTATACTGCTTCTTGCTATGGCTTCATCCTTCACTTTCCTGATTCTCTTCCTGTCTCTCTGTTGGTTCTTTGCCTTTTCCCCTAGCTACTCATCCTCTTCTAGATGCTCTAAGTTGTATGTCCCCCTGCCTTCAGCCTTCTTCTCTTTTCTCTACACTTCATTTAGAAATCACATTCACTTCCAGAATTTCAACTATACAAGAACTCCAACTTCTGTGTCTGCAGCATTCAAACCCCAGACCTCTATCTATAGCTACTTAATTGGATTTTCTACTAGCACTTCAGACTTACCTTGTCAAAAACTGACTTCACTTTCTGTTAAAGATATTGCCATTCACCTGTTGCGCAAAGCTTATGATCTTGCTCTTTCCTTTGACTCTTCACTTTGTTTCATCTTACATATTCAGCCAGTTACTAAGCCATGTCAATTCTCCCTCTGCAATAAGTCTCCCATCTATTCCTCTTTCCTCCCACTAACACTACTCTAGCACTGCATACCCTGGCCACCTGACTGGAATATTGAAATATCCGCCCAAAATGTCTTCATTGCCTCTGCTTTCTCTGACTCCCAGTTCATCTTTCACAAAGTCATCCTTCATCCTTTGCTAGACATTTGCTAGGGCCATACCCTAACTTTCCAAACATCTCATACTATTCAGCTTCATTTACACTCTGCATGACCTGAATCATACATTCATATCTGACACAACCCCAAATAGCCTATGCATTTCTGCCTCTTTACTCTTGTTCATCCTTCCCCCTGCACCTGATGAATCCCTGTCAGTCCTTTAAACTCCAACTCAAATAGCACCTTTTCCAGACCACTTTCCTTGAATTCTACTCCCTCTTCCCAAAATAACAGGAGACATTTTTCTTTCTTGACTCTCACATGGCATATTATTTGCCTATGTATTTACATTTTGTATTATAGGTTAAAAAAATTATGTGTGTCTCATATTCCTTTATTAGAATGTAAGCCTCGGGAGGGCAAAAGCCTTGCCTTAAATAAATGTTAAGATTTCATAATAATTTCACCATTGGCAGAACTTCAATGAAGGGAGGTAGCAGTGGTTGTGCCTGTTTTCTTCCCCACTTTCAAAGCAGTATATTTGGAAGGGTTGGAAGGGTTGGCTGTTAGTAACGAATATTTTAGTTATATGTAGTGACTTTATTGTTTTCATTTTGTCTTTGCAGTTTTGATGAAACAAGAGCATAGAGAAGAGATGGATTTGTCTTCAGTTCCGTCTTTGTCTGTGCCTCAGAGTGGCAATGTTCAAGGCTTACGTACTGTCCAGACACCATCGCCTTCCTCAGATCCAGGGCAACCACATGACAGTTTATTGCCTAGAAGTCTTGTTTGTCCCATCCAGCAACCATATACATCACTGGTGACCTCCTCAGCATCCCATCTGTCCCATATGCAAAGTAGGAACATTAGTCCTGGTGAAGAATGTCATGTGATGCCTTCTGTGCTACATCAGTCTTTTCAAGCCACATCAGCACCTCCTGTGAGGTCTTCCTACCAGCCTATGCAAACTAATGTTATGTACAATGGACAGACTTGTCTTCCCATTAATGCTGCCTCTAGTCAAGGATTTGATGCAAATTCATTTCAACAAGATACAGCTGTACCTAATTTAATAAGTCTTAGCTGTCAACCTCTGCCACCAATACAATTTCATTCTTCAAATTCAGGGTCATTGTCAACATCTGCTCCAGGAGCAGGACATCCCTTAGTACATACAGCTCATTCAGGGCAGTCACTGCCTCAGCTGCAGCCAGTGGGATACCATTGTTCAAACATCGGACAGGGTCCTGTTACTTCTACAACAAGCCAGTCCTTGGGACAGCCTTCCCCTCAGTTACAACTAGGAACATACCATACTTCAAACCCTGGATCTACTACAGCTTCCTCACCAACAGCCTCTCATCCCTTGGTCCATTCACCACTATCTGGACCCCCATCTCCTCAGTTACAGCCTATGCCTTATCAGTCTCCGAGCTCAGGACCTGCTTCATCCCCATCTCCAACCACCATAACTCACTCTGGACAACCTTCACCTCAAGCACACAATCCTGGAGTGGGAGGTATTTCTGTATCTTCATCATTAGTATGTCAGCATAGATGTGATTCATCTTCATTTTCACCTGATGGAGCAGCAATGAACATTAAACCTGAACCTGAAGATCAGGAATTGAATTTTGAAACCATTGGTCTCCAGGATATCACGTTAGATGATGGTGAGTTAATACTTATGTTCTTGTCATTCAAACAGATCTGAGACCATCCTTCTTGAAAAGTTCTTAATTGTCTTTCATGCCATGTTGCTGTGGTCTAGATTTTCAAATACTTTCATTTTTCTTGAAAATTTAATGATGACAAGTAGCATTTCAGAGCAGGTAAAGAACTGACCAGGACTGCTAGGTGGTGCCGTGGATATAGCACTGGCTTTGGAATCAGGAGGAGCTGAGTTCAAATTTAGCCTCAGATGTGTGATCCTGGACAAGCCACTTAACCCTGATTGCCTTGCCAAAAAACAAAACAAAACAAAACAAAAAACAACTGACCTTAGTGTCAGGAAAACCAGGGCTTAGTGCCCAGCTCTGACACTGTGTGAACCTGGGGAAGTGTCACTTTTCAGAGTCCTGTGCATCAAGACTGATAAGTTGAAGCTTTACTTTGGCTCAGAGTAAGTTACAAAGGTTCAGTGAAAAAAGTGTGTGTATAAGTACAAGTGCACACACACAGACACATAAAATCTCTTAATCTGGCGATATTGAGATACATTCTTAAAAATCTGCAGAGTAAACACTGTTTTAGAAAAGACTTGTATTGTTCCAAATTATCTTTCAAAGTTTAATAGGATCTAGGAAGTGAATAAGGATGAGGGGGAAAATCATTGAGAGAGAGAGAATGGGTATGTAATTTGCTTCATGCCACTTATCAAACTTGCAGTCCCCAGTAGAAGCAGTAGAAAGAGGAGAGACTAGTTTCTGGGCTTTTTGCTGGCTTAGTGACAAGTGAAAAACTGATCCTTGCTGTTTAAGCAAAAATTGAGTTGTTGAATTTTGATTTTATGTGATATATAAACCAGGGAACAAACTGTTAATATCTATGTCAGTGATTGAATATTCACTAGAACCAAATTTTCAGCAAACATAGTTGACAGGAAGGAAAACAAACTAGACTTGGAGTTAGGATGCCTGGGTTTAAGTTGTGGCTCACTTCCCCAGTGTGTGTCATCTTGAATAAATGACACCACTTTTTTGAGCTTCAGTCTCCTTTTGTGAAATTCGTGCCATGCCTATCTTGGAGGTTTTGTGAGTATCATGTTGGGTGATACATTCTTATTATAGTGCTTGTCTCCTCATGTATTAAGCATATAATAATAATAATAATTTTTAAAAACCCTGTATTTTGAGTAGATGTATGTGGTGAGGGTGATTAGGAGTACTTATATAAAACCCAAATTTCAAAATCCAAGAAAATAAGATCCTGAAATATATAGGGTTTCAAGTTGGTGATATCCATGACTCAGAGAACTTGACCTAACTGAATGTAATTTTTTTAGTAACTTGACCTAAAGAACATGTGGTGTCTTAGAGTACAACCTAAAATAAAATACACTGCCCTTTGCACACTGTACTGGTGTTTTTTTTTCATTTTGATAATCCCTGTTCTCTATAAGTAAAAGCAATTAAAAGTGAATATTAAAAAATTAATACCAAACTACTGGATAAATTTTACAAATTAAGAGAACATTTTTAAAATCTAAGTTCAGTACCTTTAAATCCTCTTTGAGTACATTTACCTGGATTGCATAGGCTTTAAAATACTTAAATAGGATTTCTTTTAACTTGGTTTAAAATTTTTTACATTTTTAAAGAATTATCCTTCTAATTATTTTTAGCATATTTTTGGGAATATAGTTTCCATAGAAACTTGCTTTAATAAACAGAACAGATTTTTGTGTTAACCCATTTTGATGATTAAATTATCTAATAGGATTAGTGTTTGTGATGGTTATCTTCTTCTTGTCATTCAGTCACATTTAACTCTTTAGCCTGTGGACCTGTCCATAAGGTTTTCTTGGCAAGGATATTGGAGTGGTTTGCCATTTTCTTCTCCAGTGAATTAAAGGAAACAGAAGTTAAGTGACTTGCTCAGGGTCACACAGCTTGTAAGTGTCTGAGGCCAGATTTGAACTCAGGTCTTCCTGACTTAGGCCCAGCGCGTTATCCACTGAGCCACCTACCTACCTAATTGTTATCTATTGAAAGGTTAAAAATGAAGACCACTGGTTCATTATTTTTTTTTTGGCAAGCTTACAAAATGTTTCTTCATCTTTCTGACAGATACTAGTACCACCCAAAAAATATTCAATCTCAGTAGTGTGAAAAAATATGGTACACTATTGTTTTAAGCTTTTGATTATAAATCTTTCTTGGCCTGGCCTTTGGATAATGTTGGTAATGATAAAAACTAATATTTATAGAACAGTTTAAGGTTTGCAAAGTACTTTTCATGTGTTATCTCATTTGATCTTTACAACATCCCTGAGAGAGGCGCTAATTTTGTCCTAATTTTACACTGTTTTTAAATGTCTAATGCAGAATTCAAACTCAGGTCTTTCGGACTCCTAAGTCAGGAAGTATTCTCCTCTCCTACTCTACCTTGCTTTTCTTCTTTTACCTAGGTCTGCCTAGATGATTTTAGCCTAAAGACCGAAAGCTTCACTATAACTACATGACAGCTTCAGACGTTTTTTAGACTGGCCATGTCAGTAATTGGTCTCAACAGAATGGTCCAGAACCATTTCTATAAAATTTTTTCCCCTCTTTGATTCTGTTTTTTCTTAATAAAAAAAAAAAAAAGTGAAATAGTTGGAATATTTTGAGATACTAAAGACCTACATATTTCTAGGATATGTTGTAACATGTTTTACTCCAGTGTCTCATCATGACATATAAATGACCTTGGGTCCTTAAAGGCTAAGCCAGCAAAACTTAAACTCTGGCAGTTTCCACCAAATTGCAAAGGCTTCTGGTACAGACCTGGTCCCACATGTCATCAGGCTGACTGCAGAGTGAAGAATTTTTCAGTCACAGCAGTTCTCAGAGACCATATGCTAAGTTCTAGAGGAAGTATCACCATAAATAGAATTATAGGTCCTTAAAGTATTAAAGCTGTATGTTGAGATTAAAAAACCTTTTATCCATAGAAGTGATTATGTAGTCTTTTGTTGTTGTTGTTTAGTTGTTTCAGTTGTGTCTGACTCTTTGTGACCCCATTTGGAGTTTTCTTGGCAAAGACACTGGAGTGGTTTGCCATTTCCTTCTCAGGCTCATTTTACGGATGAAAAAACTGAGGCAAGTAAGGTTAAGTGACTTGCTCAGGGTGACACAGCTATTAAGTATCTGAGGCCAGATTTGAGGCCATATTCAGTCTCTAAGGAAATAATATTTATTATCTCAGTGTTTTCTAAACTAATTTAGCTAAAGAACAGTTTGAACTTGAAAGGTGTTGAAGGAACCCACAAATGTTCATTTTAGAAGTAGAGAGGAGAGGGGCAGCTAGGTGGCGCAGTGGATAGAGCACCGGCCCTGGATTCAAGAGGACCTAAGTTCAAATTCGGCCTCAGACGCATAACACTTGATAGTTGCGTGACCCTGGGCAACTCACTTAACCCCATTGCCTAGGCTCCCCTCCCAAAAAAAAAAAAAAGAAGAGGAAGTAATAGAGAGGAGGAATAGGAGGTAAAGAGAGGGGTTGGGACATTTTGGAGTAAAATGGCTGAAATTAAGCCAGGTTCCAAATAAGCCCAAATTTGCTACTTAGAATTATTCTTTTATACATACATAATTTCATACTTAATATTTTAGCATGGAAAATATTTTTTAGTTTAGAAAATCTTGCTGAACACAGTTCAGGAAAGTCTGAATTATCCATGTGTTTAATGAAATCAGTATTAGTGTTGGTAAAATGCTTAAGTAGGAAATTATTAAACTGCGCAGCAATAATACTTTACATCTCTGTCATTGTGAAAGGAGTGTCTTGGAAAACATGCTAGCTTAATATTAGTGGTCTAGTGCAGGGGTCAGCTAACTATGACCAGTAGACCAAATCCAATAAAACTTTTTTTTTTTTTTTTAATATAAGTGCCATTGTTAGCCTGCAGTCAGTACAAAAACAGGTGGCCAGTCCTAAGGTAGTAGTTCTCTGGCCCCTGGTCTAATGTTTAACCCTTACATGGAAAAGTTCATAAGACTTTATTCTAGATTTTGTCTTAAGATATTAAGAAGTTTTGTTATAAACTTTAGGTAATAGTAAACATTTATCAGGTGCCTGCTATATGCCAAATAGTGCTAAGTGCTGTGGATACAAATAAGAAAAAGAAAGATAGTCCCTGCCTCCTAGGAATTTGTAATCTGATCGGGGAAGGCAACACGCAAAAGAAAGCTGAAACACTGAGTGTGAGGTGAAAGTGGTGAAGGTACTCGATGCAAGGGGTGGTGGAATTCAAGCCAAAGAATATATCGAGTGGGAAATGAATTAGCTGATGTTTGAGTCCCAGTAGAGTCTTTGGGAAGAGTTCTTTGCCCTGCCATCCAGCCCTCCAAACAGGGGCAGAGAGGGTACCAAGGGTACTGAAGAGGATGATGAATTTATTGATAAAAAGGTTACATTATCATACATCATTAACTTTGATTCATTGCTACAATTAGGTTGCTATTTTCATCATAGATGTATCATTCTTAGACTATTTCTTAATGTAATCATAAGAATTTTTAAAGCTTAATATGTAAATACAAGAAGCCGGAACCATCAGACCATCACCAAACATTTATTAATTGCTCCGTCAGTAAACACTGCTAAGTGTAGGGGATACAAAAAAAGGCAAAAGACAGACCTTGCTCTCAAATAGTTCACAATATAATAGAGTAGACAACAAGCAAACAAATATGTACAAACAAACAGTGGAGAGAATAAATAGTAAATGATTAACGGAGAGAAGGTACTAGGATTAAACGAGGTTGGGAAAGGCTTCCTGTAGAAGATAAGTTGTTGGTTGGGATTTAAAGACTCCAAGGATGCCAGAAGTCAGAGATGAAGAAGGAGAGCATTCCAGACATGGAGGACAGCCAGAGAAAAGACCCAGAGCTAAGAGATGGAGTATCTTGTTTCTGGAACAACCCAAAGGTCAACGTCACTGTATCAAAGAGTGTGTAGGGAGGTCTAA